AAACATAAGACATAACACCATAAAAATCCTAGAAGAAAATTTAGGCATAACCATTCAGGACATAAGGTGTAGGCAAGGACTTCATGACCAAAACACCAAAAGCATTGACAACAAAAGGCAAAATAGACAAATGGGACCTAATCAAACTCCACAGCTTCTTCACAGCAAAAGAAATGGTCATTAGAGTGAATCGGCAACCAACAGAATGGGAAAAATTTTTTGCAGTCTACCCATCTGACAAAGGGCTGATATCCAGAATTTACAAAGAACTAAAACAGATTTACAAGAAAAAAACTAACAAGCCCATTCAAAAGTGGGCAAAGGATATGAACAGATACTTTACAAAAGAAGACATACATGAGGCCAACAAACATATGAAAAAATGCTCATTATCACCGGTCATCAGAGAAACGCAAATCAAAAACAACATTGAGATACCATCTCACGCCAGTTAGAATGGTGATCATTAAAAAATCTTGAGACAACAGATGCCGGAGAGGATGTGGAGAAATAGGAACACTTTTACACTGTTGGTGGGAGTGTAAATTAGTTCAACCATTGTGGAAGACAGTGTGGCGATTCCTCAAGGACCTAGAAATAGAAATTCCATTTGACCCAGCAATCCCATTACTGGGTATATATCCAAAGGATTACAAATCGTTCTACTATAAGGACACGTGCACACGAATGTTCATTGCAGCACTGTTTACAATAGCAAAGACCTGGAACCAACCCAAATGCCCATCGATGATAGACTGGACAGGGAAAATGTGGCATATATACACCATGGAATATTATGCAGTCATCAAACACGATGAGTTTGTGTCCTTTTAGGGACACGGATGAACCTGGAAACCATCATTCTCAGCAAACTGACAGAAGAGCAGAAGATCAAACACCGCATGTTCTCACTCATAGGCGGGTGCTGAACAATGAGAACACATGGACACAGGGAGGGGAGCACTACACACTGGGGTCAGTTGGGAGGAAATAGGGGAGTGACGGTGGGGGGTGGGGAGCTGGGGAGAAATAGCAAGGGTAGAGATGCCAGATGTAGGTGATGGGGAGGAAGGCTGCGAATCACACTGCCATGAGTGTACCTATGCAACAATCTTGCATGTTCTTCACATGTACCCCAAAACCTAAAATGCAATAAAATAAATAAATGGGAAAAAAAAGAAAAAGAAAATGTATCACAAGTCAAACTATCCCTATTCGCAGATAACATGATTCTATATCTAGAAAACCCCACTGTCTCAGCCCAAAAGCTTCTTGAGCTGATAAATAACTTCAGCAAAGTCTCAGGATACAAAATCAATGTGCGAAAATCACTAGCATTTCTATACATCAACAATAGTCAAGCCGAGAGCCAACAAACTCCCATTTATAAATGAACTCCCATTCACGATTGCCACAAAAAGAATAAAATATCTTAGGAATATCTAACGAGGGAAGTGAAAGATCTCTAAAAGGAGAACTACAAACCACTGTTCAAAGAAACCACAGATGACACAAATGGAAAAACATTCCATACTCATAAGTAGAATAATCAATAACATTAAAATGGCCATACTGCCAAAAGCAATTTATAGATTCAATGCTATTCCTATCAAACTACCATTGACGTTCTTCACAGAACTAGGAAAAACTTTAAAAATTCATATGGAATTAAGAAGTCTGAATAGCAAGGCAATCCTCAGAAAAAAGAACTAAACTGGAGGCATCATGCTACCCAGCTTCAAAGTATAGTACAGGGCTACAATAACCAAAACAGTGTGGTACGATACAAGAACAAGACACATACACCAATGGAACAAAACCCAGAAATAAGACTTCACACCAATAAACCATCTGATCTTTGAAGCAGACAAAAATGAGCAACAGAAAAACAATTCCCTATTCAACAAATGGTGCTGGGACAACTGGATAGCAACATGCAGAAAATTGAAATGAAACCCTTTCTTACACCATATACAAAAATTAACCGAACATGGGGTTAAAGGCTTAAACGTAAAACCCAAAACTATAAAAGCTCTGGAAGACAACCTAGGCAATACCATTCTGGGCATAGAAATGTGCAAATATTTCACAATGAAGATGCCAAAAATGATTACAACAGAAGCAAAACTTGACAAATGGGATCTAATTAAACTAAAGAGCTTCTGGAAAGTAAAAGAAACTAAGAAACTATCCACAGAGTAAACAGTCTCATTTGGGTAGACTGTTGCAATGGGAAAAAAAAAAAAAAAGAGAGAGTAAACGGACAACTTATAGAATGGGAGAAAATTTCTGCAGACAATGTATCTGACAAAGGTCTAATATCCAACATCTATGAGGAACTTAAACAAATTTACAGGCAAAACACAACCCCATAAAAAAGTGGGCAAAGGACATGAACAGACACTTTTTAAAAGACATAAATGTGGCCAAGAATCATATGAGAAAAAGCTTAACGTCACTGATCATTAGAGAAACACAAATTAAAATCACAATGAGATACCATCTCACACCAGTCAGAATGGCTACTATTAAAAAGTCAAAAAAAAAATAACAGATGCTGGTGAGGTTGTGGAGAGAAAGGAACACTTATGCACTGTTGGTGGGAGTGTTAATTAGTTCAGCCATTGTGGAAGACAGTGTGGAAATTCTTCAAAGATCTAAAGACAGAAGTATCATTTGACCCAGTAATCCCATTACTGAGTATATACCCAAAGGAATATAAATCATTCTATGATAAAGACACATGCATGTGTCTGTTCAATGCAGCACTATTCACAATAGCAAAGCCACAGAATTAACCTAAATGTCTATCAATGATAGACTGGATAAAGAAAACACAGTACATATACACCATGGAATACTATGCAGCCATAAAAAGAATGAGTTCATGTCCTTTGCAGGGACATGGATGGAGCTAGAGGCCATTATCCACAGCAAACTAACACAGGAAGAGAAAATCAAATACTATATGTTCTCCCTTTTAAGTGGGAACTGAATGATGAGACTACATGGACACATAGAGGGAAACAACATACACTGGGGCCTTATGGACAGTGGAGGGTAGGAAGGGGGAGAGGATCAAGAAAAACAACTAATGGGTACTAGGCTTAATACCTTAATACCTAGCTGATAAAATAATCTGTACAACAAACCTCCATGACACAAGTTTACCTATGTGACAAACCTGTACATGTACCCCTGAACTTAAAAGGAAAAAAAGAAAAAGAAAAAAGACAATGTCTCATAAAGCCTCAATAATTAAAATATTGTGGTAATGACCAGATAACTCCATAGAACAAAAAATAAAAAAATAGACTCAAGTTGAACATAGTTTTTTTTAATGTTGGAAATACTATAAGATGGAAGACAAATCGGCCCTGTTCATATTAACCACAAGAGACTGAACTAGGACTGGTAGGTAGAGAAAGCTACAAGAAGATATATTACATTTAGTTCAATAGAAAGAAAAATGTTCTAATACTCAGTGCTCATCAAAAATTAATGGACTCTTTCTGAAAGTAGTTATCTGCCACTTCCGATATTCAAACTTAGGCATAATGATCAAGTATGGGTGTTATATTAAGGTTCATCATCAGATAAAAGAGAAGATCATCATGGTAGATGAGAGGTAGGACTAGATTGTAACTCTGACTCAGATGGACAGAACAATGTGTGGAGGCTCGCATCACAAATTTTAGCTCCAGAATGACCGCAAGAACAAAGCAGGAATCCCAAGAGGACCCACAGATCCTCTGAAGGGAGCAGGCTGCTCCTGCGGGACCCAGGAGACACCCCAAATACTCTTGAGTGCCCAAACTACAGAAGTGGGAAAGGGAGACCCTCGCTCCCAAACACACCCCCACTGGGGAAACTGAAGGTCTGCCTCATTTAAGAGGCAGACAAGGGTGAAAGTCTAAAACAAGGGTGAAAAGAAATAAAGAAACCGGAGAAAAACCCGGACAATTTTGTCTTGTGAGGAGAAACTGCAAAAGGAGTGAATGGTTAAGACAGCCAAATGCTACAGAGAAGCCAGGTGAAATATAGGATTGAAGATACCTGGATTTGGCAATAAGAAATCATTGGTGACCTTATAAGAAATATTGGTGACCTCTAAAACCAATTCTAATTGGTTTTAGAATTTTAAACAAATTAATTATGATGGAAAGGAAAGAAAGAAAGAAAGAATTAAGAGAGAGACAAGATCAAGGGACATACTTTTTTTTTTCTTTTTTTTTTGAGATGAAGTTTTGTTCTTGTCTCCCAGGATGGAGTGCAGTGGTGTGATCTTGCAACCTCTGCCTCCCAGGTTCAAGTGATTCTCCTGCCTCAGCCTCCCAAGTAGCTGGGATCACAGGCATGTGCCACCATATTCAGCAAATTTTGTATTTTTAGTAGAGGCGGAGTTTCTACATGTTAATCAAGCTGGTCTTGAATTCCTGACCTCAGGTGATCAGCCCACCTTGGCCTCCCAAAGTGCTGGGATTACAGGTGTGAGCCATCACACCTGGGTGGGGTATACTTTTTAGGATGGGAGAAATGACCATGTTTTAGATTGCTTTTATATTCATAAAATGGAACAATTAGAGAGGAAGACATTAAAGATGCAAATGAAAGGACACTGGACATGGGATTAAGTGCTCAAAGGAAGAAATAACCTTGGATGAAAAGACTGAGACTGGAGGGGAGAGAAAAGGGTGAGCACAGAAGCAGATGAACCTGAGCATATGCCTCAGGAAGTGGCAGGGAACTTCTACCTGAAACCCATTCTTTTCTTTATAAAATCACCCACCAAAAAAAAAAACAAGGAAAAATGTTGGGTGGAGGATTCTCTTCCTTAGAGGGAAGAAGAGCTGTCAAAGATCTTGATCAGGGCCAAAGTTCTCATATGTTAGGATAAATGAACAAGGACTCAGAACATTGACTGGAAAAAGTTGCAAATCTTATCTACTGAAATACAGGAATAATCTGAATAATGACCAATGCTAACATGTGGCAAATACCTTTTCTTCAAGTAGCTCCTCTATTTCTTCATATGTCAATAATGTAATTTTTCTGCCTTTGATATTAGAAAGGAGGCAAGAGCATGTGTTGATCCATTCATAACATTCTTTCTGAGAAGAGATAAAAGATTACAAGCAGAAAAAACCAGCTCATTCATTCACTCACTCCTATTGAACAGCTGCTAAATACCATTCCTCTAAATATAACTATATTCAATTAACTTTATATCAGTTCATTTCAAAGATCTGTGCAGAGGTGACTGGCAGTTAACATAGACCTAAATAGTATTATCTCTTATTGACAGGGTTTGGAATCTGGGTTGTAATGGGACAGGGAGTGGTGAAGTGCCATAAAATCAGATACAAAAAGTTTGTTGTATTTACTAATGTCTAAATGGCCTCCTAATAAATTTTATGCAACTGACCAGGTCAACTGTGATTGCATAGTAAAAATAGAAATAGAAAACACCTACCTGGTACTTAATTATATGCCAGACTCTGTTCTAAGCATTATGCATATATTAACTCCTTTGATCCTCAGTGAGACATGAACTATTATTATCCTCATTTTTTAAGATGAAGAAACTGAGAAATTGAGTAGTTATATGTCTTGCTCAAAGTCATATATATAGTCAAGCATGATGCTTGGATTCTAATCTAGGTGGTCTGTGCTTAATCGCTAAAAAAAGTACTACCTCCACTGCTAATAAAGCGAATGAATAAAGATTTGAGACACTTTTGGAAAAGGTGCTTACCTTTTATCTATTGAGATATGGGAAAGGTCAATAGTGGGTCTTAATCACCTAAGGTAAATAGTTAAACTACATTTACTTTACCAACATCTCCTAACAACTAAGAGCTGGTTTCAATGTTTAAAAGGTACAGTATTCCAGGCCGGGCGCGGTGGCTCAAGCCTGTAATCCCAGCACTTTGGGAGGCCGAGGCGGGTGGATCACGAGGTCAAGAGATCGAGACCATCCTGGTCAACATGGTGAAACCCCGTCTCTACTAAAACTACAAAACATTAGCTGGGCATGGTGGCGTGTGCCTGTAATCCCAGCTGCTCAGGAGGCTGAGGCAGGAGAATTGCCTGAACCCAGGAGGCGGAGGTTGCGGTGAGCCGAGATCGCGCCATTGCACTCCAGCCTGGGTAACAAGAGCGAAACTCCGTCTCAAAAAAAAAAATAATAAATAAAAAAATAAAATAAAAGGTACAGTATTCCTTATTAGTTAATAAAAGCAGTGAGAACTAGGAAACGTTACCGTCTCTGGGAACAGAGATCTGGTCATTCTAGCAAGGAAACAGCAGCACGTGGTGAAATAATTACCCACTGTAGGCTCCTGAAATCACCACAATAGCAGTAATATACCTTATATTTCTTTCATTATTAGCCTGTGTGTGTGTGTGTGTGTGTGTGTGTGTGAGACAATGTCTTGTTCTATTGCCTAGGCTGGAGTGCAGTGGCATCATCATAGCTCACTGCAGCCTTGACCCACTGGGCTCAAGGGATCCTCCCACCTCAGCCTCCCAAGTAGCTGAACCACAGGTGTGTACCACCATACCTGGCCAACTTTTTTATTTTTTGTTGCCTAGGCTGGGCTTGTACTCCTGGGCTCAAGTGATTCAGCCTCCTAAAATGCTGGGATTACAGGCGTGAGCCACCGCACTTGGCCCCGATTTCTTTTAAATTGTGCAATTATTATGAAATGTCAGGGCCAAAACTTGTAGAAATCAAATCTAAATCCATATGCTGTAGATAAAGGAACTGAAGCCTGTAGTGGCAAAGTAAGTTTACTACAGCTTTGTTAATGTCATTGATGGTTAAATTCTGGATTCAAAGGGCTAGACTGATATTTTATTGTATATCAGAAAGAAGAGTGGACAAGGCAGATGAAGATGTTGAGTTTTAGTCCTAACTTCACTGAATTAGTTGAGAGTTCTTGAGTAGATGCCTAATAGTCCTTATCTTTTTTTTTTTTTTAAATGAAGCTCTTCGTTTACTCTAAGTGACCCATATGCAGTGGTGACCTGATAAATGTTTAACAACCATTTCTGAGGGATTTGGGGGAAGACCTGATTTGTAGCAATTTCTGATGTCCATGGTATAAATACTCTCACCATGGCAATTTCAATGATGTTCATCAATTCGGTATGTTATCACTGAATGTGGAGTTGAGAAGGCTTGCATGTAATTGGTTCTTGTGAGCCAGTGTGAGTTTCTATCACACCACTGCCCCTAAGTATCCTTCCAGATATAAAGCTTGACTAATATATTTTTTAACCTTTTTTTTATTGTACCTAGAACAAAAAAAAATTTTAAACTAGTCTCTAGTTGAATTTGCATGCTATGAAACAGATCCTGGCCATTTATAAATGAGATATTGGAGATACTATCATAAGACTTCTGATGAGGAAAAACATCATTAGAAGTCTTTTAATGAAAGTTGTACAATAAATTTCAGCAAGTTTTCCTTCAAAATTTTCAATGTTACCTTTTTATCAGCTATAGACTGGGATAGCTTGGTTGCTAATTAATACCTATGAATCTTTTCCATGAATATTCTTCTTATTTAATTCTAATAATGACTTCTGGTTTGAAGTAAAAGGGCTAAAATTCATGTTTGCAGTGAGGGAGGATTTAAGAAGCAGGCAATAGTCCTAAATCTTAAGCCTACTGTAGCAGGAGAAACAGAAGGCCATAGGAGAGTCTGTTATAGGGTACCAGCAGGAAGACAATGGCTGTAAATGAAGATATTAAGAATCCATGATCCCCAGATCCCCCATAAGGGAGGAAAGCTGGGGCTTCCTTGAGTTTACCTGCTAAAACATCATGAGAGGAAGATTCCTACTACCACTGTCTTCAGTCATAATCCTTTTGGAGGACCAAATCCTGGAACTGACAGTGGTATCTCTGGTGACAAAAAGAAGGCCTATTGCAGTCCAAGGTGGATGGCAGGGTCTTGATAGAGTACACAGGGCAAAGATGCAACCCAATAGCATAGAAGTTTTGTTTTGTTTTTTGACAGAGTCTTGTTCTGTTGCCCAGGCTGGAATGTAGTGGCACAATCTTGGCTCACTGCAACTTCCGACTCCTGGACTCAAGTGATCCTCTCACCTCAGCCTCCTGAGTAGCTGAGACTACAGGTGCGCCAACATGCCTGGCTAATTTTTGTATTTTCAGTAGAGACGGGGTTTCACGATGTTGGCCAGGCTGGTCTTGAACTCCTGACCTCAAGTGATCCACTGGTCTTGGCCTCCCAAAGTTCTGGGATTACAGGTATGAGCCACTGTGCCCCGCCAGCATAGAGGAAGTTAATTGTAGCCAGAAGTCAAGTTTGAAGAGCCCCAGCTGGAGATCCTCATTTCCATTATGGTAGGTGTTTCTTTGGTATATTTCCCTCCCATATGTTCTCAGCACTGTCAGGTGCTGGTCAATGGCCTGCTGAAGCATGTCTCAGAGGTCCTACCCAGTAATCTGCCATTTGCTCAGACTGTAACTATTCTTCAGTATATCAGTGACTCTAATTCTAGGTTCTTGGAACAGTGGATATGGTCAACCTAAAGCACTTGAAAAAAATCATCTATCTAGCTGATCTGGCCTGGCTAAGTTTCCAGGCTTTCAGTAGCTGTTCTAGGCTGCAGTCATTCTCTTATACCCTTACTGGAAGCCAGGACTCTGATATTATGCCTCCAAGTCTCACATGAAACCTTATAACCAACAGTTCTCATCTCCAAGTGGGGTAGTTGCTATACAATGACACCAGTTCTTTCTGAAGTAGGCACAGGGGCAAGGATCCTGAGAACTGAGTCCTCCTAAAAAACGGCCACCTGCTGTATGAGGTCAGACTGGATCAAGCTATGCCATGATCAGGTGGAAGGTAAATAGGATAATTAGCCACTGGACTGCCTTAGTTCTCTTGGGGAATTAGATAACCCCCATCTGTTTCTAAAGAAAGCAATATACCTAGGCTGTTATGGAAAGTGGAGTAAGAATTTATACCAGTAGGAGTGATCAAAATCCAAAAGATGGTTACCTAGGAGATCCTCAATTATTATTATTATTTTTTTTTAGATAAAGTTTTGCTTTGTCACCCAAGCTTGAGTGCAGTGGAACAACCTTGGCTCGCCATAACCTCTGCCACCCAGATTCAAGGAGTTCTCCTGCCTCAACCTCCTGAGTAGCTGGAATTACAGGTGCCCACTATCATACTTGGCTAATTTTTGTATTTTTAGTAAAGGTGCAGTCTCACCATGTTGGCCAGGCTGGTCTTGAACTCCCCACTTCAGGTGATCCACCCACCTCAGCCTCCCAAAGTGCTGGGATTACAGGCATGAGCCACCACACCTGGCAGAGATCCTCAATTCTGAACCCTGTCCAGAGTCATGCAAATCTCCTTTGCTGGAAAGGAGCCCAAGAAACATGAGCTTGTGGGAAACTCTCACTAATGTCATCCAAACATCAGTCTAGTAGGTCAAATGCTAGAATGTAGCACAAGCCATACAGCACTACCACCGAGCCGCGTTAGACAAGGTTTCTCTGAAAAACCATCTTCTTCTTTTCACCTTGTGGGATGTGGATGAAGCCATAGGAATCCCAAAGTCTGATGTCATAAAGATTCATGTACCACAGAGGTTGTCTAGATCAGGGGAAGATAGTAGCAGTCCAGGATGGTGATGAATTTGAAATAAAAATAACCATGAAGATGGAACTAACCATTTTTTTTAAAGAGTACCTCAGTACGGCCTGCTGAGCCCGCTACCATAAACTCACTTGATATACTCTTGAGAGGCCTCAGGCTTAGAGAGAAGAGGCATATGCATTTTCTTAGGAGAAAAAGGCTTTTGCATAGGCTCAGTTACAGCCTTACCACAGTCACACCTCTGGTGTGAGAGCAGATTCTCAGCATCCTCTAATCACATTTCCCCAGTTTATTTGCCTGAACTCACTAGAGTATGGTTAGTAAGTGAGAGAGAACTTAACAGAGGACCAAAGTAGCACTATTGGAAAGTGAAGGTCCTCAAAGAGATGGTCGGGTATGGGCATCCAGTCAGGGGCTTGGGTGGCATAGGAAATGAATGGCCCACAGCACAAGGCTTTCACAACATGTCC